GAGTACGTGTGTTTTGGAGTGATTCCCCATAATAAACCCCGTTTTATTTGTATCTATTTCCCCTCAGTGGGATATTATCCCCACGCCAACAGTAACGACTTTCGCGAATCAGAAACCGTGGGCGGATGGAACTGTACACAAGGCTGTGAACGCCCGTACCTCTGTGTATAACGCAGGACTCGCCACTGGTGATATGAGCGTTTATAAAGCGGCTTCATACGTACTACGGCACGTCGTCAAACTAGCAAAAGAATGTTACAGCAACTGTGTTCAGTGTTACTTTCGCCAGAGTGATGTGCGACGACTGTGGCACAGACTATGTACTATCACAGACTTTAAAAGCTAAAGCACCGTGGCTTCGAGCATCTACTCTGCTTTTGTCAATGAACACAACGTTTTTTATGCCCGCTTCAAGGCTAATCATGCTAGCGTTGGCTACTCAGCTAACACTAGCCACAGCCTGCTAGCATAGCGTTCTGACTTCATCAGCTTTGCAGTGTGACGTGCGGAGGGCACTACAGCAGCTCAACATCAGGAAAGCGCAGGGGCTGGACGGCATCTCTGGGTGCCTGCTACCCTTCTGCACCGACCAGCTGACCGGAGTCTTAACCTCCATCTTCAACGAGTCTCTGGCTCAGTCTGTGGTCCCCACCTGCTTTAAAAGATCCACAATTGTACTTGTACCTAAGAACAGTAAACCCTCATGTCTGAATGACTACCTGCCAGTTGCACTAACGTCAGTGATCATGAAGGTTTTAAGAACATAAGAAATTTACAAACGAGAAAAGGTCATTCGGCCCATCAAGCTCATTTGGGGAGAACTTAACTAATAGCTCAGAGTTGTTAAAATCTTATCTAGCTCTGATTTAAAGGAACCCAGGGTTTTAGCTTGTGCTACACTAGCAGGAAGACTATTTCATACTCTACACGCTGTGTAAAGAAGTGCTAACTCAAATTCATTTTAAAATGTTCTCCCGCTAATTTACACTTATGGCCACAAGTATTTAAACTAATATTGAAATAGCCATTTGGCTGAACAGCATCCAGACCTGTTAGAATCTTACAGTATATACCTCATATATGAACTGGAGACTAAACAGATTCAGGTCAGCTAACCTCTCCTCATAAGACATTCCTCTAAGACCAGGAATCATTCTCGTAGCCCTCCGTTGCACCCTTTCCAAGGCAGCAATGTTCTTCTTAAGGTATGGTGACCAAACCTACACACAATATTCAAGATGGGGTTTTACCAAGGAATTATATAATCGTAGCATTACCTCCCTTGACTTAAACTCCACACACCTAGAGATGTAACCCAACATTCTATTGGCCTTTTTTATTGCTTCCCCACACTGGCGAGAGTGTGACATGGAAGCATCAATATACACACCGAGATCTTTCTCGTAATCAGCTACCTTTATTTCAGTGGAACCCATAAAATATCTGTACTTTATATTTCTGCTCCCTGCATGGATGACCTTACATTTATTTATGTTAAATTTCATCTGCCAGGTATCAGTCCAGTCACTAATTAAATCCAGATTCCATTGTAGCCTCTTTGCTGCTAGATCAGTATCTGCTCCACCACCCACCTTGGTGTCATCTGCAAATTTAACCAGTTTACTGTATGTATTGGTGTCAATATCATTAATGTAAATTAGAATTAGGAACAATAGTGGTCCTAAAATTGAACCCTGCAGTACCCCACTATGAACGCAGGCCCACTTTGACATTATGCCTCTAATAACTACTCACTGCTTCCTGTCAGTTAACCAGTTTTCGATCCAAGCTGCTACAGTTCTTAAAATACCTGCAGCTTTGAGCTTAAGCACACGGAAGGAGCAGACGATCGGGGCAGGACAGGACCCCCCCCAAAGACGGGGAGCGAAGGGGAAGCACAAGGGATGCAGGGTTCAACAGGACAGCACCTGAGAAAACAAAATCACAAACACAGACACAAAGAGGGACACCAAGGATGAGAACATAGAACCAAATACCAAGGAAGGGGACAAAGGAGGAACAACACCAGGAGGCACACCCACAGGAGGCACATAGGGACCAGCTGGGAACAAAAGTACAGAGGGACGGGTAGCAAACACAAGGGGCACACAGGAACCAGAAGGGAACAACGGTGGAGCAGGATGGGGAGTAAACACAGGGGGCGAGGGGAAACGGGGAGCTGGAGGGACCCTCGGCGGGTGTGAGGTGGAAGCCGCTGGAGCAGCAGGCGACCGCGAGGCCAGAGCAAGGTGCTGAAGGGGAAGCTGAAGGTGGTGACGAGGCACGCAATCGGGCTGGGGGAGATGGCAAGGAGGAAGGCGAGGGGGACAGTGGCGGAGGGGAGGAGGGAACCATAGTTGTGGCAGGAGGAGGCACAGCCACCTGATGAGTCACAGGCAGGGGACCCATAGGCGATCTACGAGGGGCCGGAGGCGGAAGCCGAGGGCGACCGCTGACCTGAAGCCTGGGGAACTACAAGCGACCACCGATCTGGAGCTGGAGGACTCACAGATGCCCATTGAATCGAAGCTGGGGGGAGTGAAGGTGAGCCAGGGAGTTGGACGGGTGGGGTTCAACCCTGGTGCCGGTGTTCTCTCCCTTTTCGGGAGACCAAAAGATGGGGACCCAGCTGGAATCCGCCACGACGAGGTGCCAGTTGGGGTGACCCACCAGAGGGGTGCAAAGGTATAGTCAGAGTAATCCCCGAGGGGTCCCACTCCAGCTCCTCCCACAGCTCCATCAAGGAGAGAAGAGGGGTGGTCAGGCTATCAGGGACCTCCTTGGGGACAGGCACTCGGGTCATGGAAACCGGGGACATGGGAGCAGGGTCAGGAACCAGGGAGACTGGAACCGGAGGGTCGGGAATGTGGGGGACTGTAACTGGAGGGTCTGGAGCCAAGGGGGCTGCAGCCAGAGGGTCCAGAGTCACGGGAGCTGCAGGCCAAGGGGTCAGGGAAGGTGGAGCAGGAACCTCCGGGAGCAGAGCAGGACCAGGCAGAGCAGGAACCTCAGGCATGGGGACCTCAGGTGCCAGAGCAGGAATTGCGGGCGTGGGGACCTAGGGCGCCAGAGCAGGTACCGCCGGCGCAGGGACCTCAGGCGCCAGAGCAGGAACCTCGGGGGGTGGCATGTCAGCCACCGACGCAAGAACCGTTGGGGTTGTGGTGTCAGCCGCCAGGCCTGGGACCTCAGGGGGGCGGCACGGTCGGCCTGTGGCCAGGACCTCGGGGGGCTGCGTGTTGGCTGCCAGGGCTGGAGCCTCAGGGGGCGGAGCATCGGCCACCAGGGCTGGAGCCTTGGGGGTCGGAGCGTCATCTGCCGGGACTAGAGCCTTGCAGGGCGGCACGTCAGCCGCCTAGATGGGAACCTAGGAGGGCAGAGCAGGGGCATCTTCTACGTGCTCCTGTCTGCATAGCACTTGTTTGTTCGCTCGCTTGACCCCTTCTACACGCTCGTGTCTGCACAACACTCACTTGCTTGACAGGCTGAATTTTGAGACTTTGGAGGTGGGAACAGTGGCTGATTTTTCCACTTCTTTGATTGGTCACTTTGAATCCTATGATTGCTTGTTTGCTTTGGAAGAAGAAGAAGATGAAGAAGAAGATCACAGACCAGTCAATGAGAGAACAGCCAGTTTCAGGCCCTGTCATGTCGTTGGTAGTTTTACACTAAGGTAACATCTTATTTTCATATTGCACGTTTGAGGTGGTAATAGGAATCATACATGTGTGTGCATGTGTGTGCGTATACAGTACTTTAATTAAAGCAGCACTTGAAATTCAGCGTAGGATTACTGGAATTTACCACTTCATCTTACTGTATATAAAAGTCACTACAGAACGGGCCACTATACAGGAAATTGCACTTTGAACAATTAGACAGTGATCTTCTCCTTCTTCATCATCTTCTTCCAAAGCAAACAGGCAACCATAGGATTCAAAGTGTCCAATCAAAGAAATGGAAAAATGGAATGGAAATTCTAACGTGTCTAACAATCAAGTCTCCAATCATGAACACCTTTTCTGCTTCATTAGAGCAGAGAACCTGTTGCTAAGTGTAACAGCTGACTGGGGTGTAGGAGCTCTCGGCCTAGAGCTCGTAGGACCATGTCTGATCGTGACCCAGGGCTCCTGTGGACTGAAGACAGTGACGGCAGGAGGGACAGAAAGTCCCGGGAAGGAGTGCAGTTATGTCTTTAGGCCCCCTTTTTTGGATGTGGGACCTCCTTGGACCATTTGTCTACTTTCTCTGGGTCTGCCACTTCATGAGTATACACATCCCAGTAGGTGTATGTCCCATCCTCTTCTTTTCTTGCCTTAACTCTGTTTGTCCTCAGAGGAGTCAGATGAACAGGTCAGGCTTCTTCTTCTAATGTCATTTGCTCATCTTGGCTTTGAGGGGCAGAGACACTAAGCAACTACTGACATTTTAGCACATTCCTGCCCATCCTTATACTCGGCAAGTTTTATTGTCAGGATTAGGCCAGCACTGCATATTGGTATTGGCGATACCAGCCATTGTATTGGATTGAATCAATTTTTAAAAAAATAAAATCTCTTCTCACCACATTCCACTCACTCACATGTGCTCACAGAGAGAGATCTCTATTTGTGCATCTTTGTACACTGACCACCAGCTGGAGCTTTTCAGTTCAGTGTCCCTCCCAGATCTGTGTCCCTCCCAGAGTAGTTTGGCTGCTGATTGTTGATTTTGTTCAGCGGTGTGGTGTGCACATTCCGTCCCAGCTTTCTTCCTGTAATGGTTCTCTCCTGACTGTTGCTGTCCCCGCTGTGCTTGGGGCTGTTCCAGTGTGGCAGGTTGTTTGCTGCTTCAATGGCGATCACTCTGCCACAATAATGTCTGTAATATAACATTTGTATAACCCAAAATGTAAGGAATAAGCTTAATGTTCCATAGTACAATGGAAATGGAAACTGATAAAAGCTTATGAAATATATTTTGACCACTGATATGCACTTTGGTTTTTTTTTGTGAATGAGGGTCCAGAGAGACATCGTTACCCAGATTCATTGGAAATTATCTGTACCTTGACGTGAAGGAGGATGAAGATGAGGCTGTGTTTGAAGAAGCTGGGGCAATCATGAAGCAGCATCCAGAAAAGATGCAACTGTATTTGCACGTGGATCAGGATTTTCAACATCTTGGTGAAGCCCTCAGGGACATGATATTCAAATGTTTGCCACAGATCAGCAGAATCAGGTCTGTTTTTGTGTAATTAAAATAAGTTTTATGCATATAAATTGGGTCATAGTATTTTAATTCAAATGACCTTTGCATATTATATATATATATATATATATATCTCATTGTTTAAGTTAAAATTGAATTAAAATGGAATGACCCAGTGTCACGGACCATTCTGGGGAAGCCCCACTTACTCAGCAGAGGGCTACTTGAAGCTGATCCATGCCACCATGGGTCTGTGTCCCTCACACTTAATAGTCGATTCTCCAAGGCACTTTCATCAAGAAACATGTAGCTGTGTGCCTTAATGACTGCATATTCTCCCATTGACCTAAGTGTGGGATTATAATAAGAATTAGGCTTAACTAAGGCTGGTCTTTCAGTTAAAAAGCTTCAAACGAAGTAGTGTGTCCTCACAATCCTAAGCTGCAATGTGTGTAAGTCGTTCCTGCGTAAGCAGGACAGACAGAGACGCCCTCTTCTTGATGTGCTTCCACTGACCAACACTGAATGCATTGCATGTTTCCTGGTGGATCATAAAACGCTCAGCTTTGAATTCTGATCAGTCCCGTATTTTTGTAGAATACCTACACTTCATGATATTCAGTAGGTCAGGGATCCGCAATGGAACTACCTGACCAGGACACTTGTCTAATTAGTAACCATTCTATGTCTATTGGGGTAGGTATGTGGGTTTTTGTGACAGTGACTAGAAATTGGTTTGGATTAATACATTAGAGCAGGGGTCTCCAACACGTCACTCGCGAGCTACCAGTAGCTCGCAACCCCTCTCCAAGTAGCTCGCCGAAGGGTTAACGAATCTACATACATTTGAAAACTTGACCAGTCGAATTTGATTAGTCACTCGGAAAACCAACTTGCATGTATATCCAATCATATCTGCCCCCTCCTTACACTAAATCATTATTTGCCCATTAGTTGTCGATCAAATAGTTGCGCTGCTGTCAAGCTTGATGAGTCAGGGGTGATGATGTGAGATGGGCAGCAACCATGACCGCGGCAGGTAGCCATACCAATAAGAGGCTGAAAACTTATTTTCATGAAGAGTGTCGTTTCACAAACATAACGACAAGTGTGTATCTCTGATCTGCGGTGCAAGCGTGTCAGTCGGTAAAAGATGTAACGTGGAGCGCCATTTCACCAAGGTCCACAGCAACTTTTCATGGGACTTTCCTGAAGGTAGCAATCTACGAAAGGAGAAGATAAAGGAGCTGAAAGCAATGCTTCAAAGAAAACAGTCTCTGTTCACCAAACCTATGAAGAAGGCCAGTGCAGCAACAGAGGCCTCGTTTAAACGAAGCACAAAAATCCCTTTACTGATGGCGGGATTGTAAAGGAGGCTATGACCGCGGTGGCTGAAACGTAATTCACGGACCATAAAAGTAAGACAGAAATTTTGTCTGCTGTTTGCTGATGTACAACTTGGTGCAAATACTGTGGTAAGGAGAGTGTTTGCGCTGTCTCCGGATGCATTAAAACAGCTGGAATCGGACATGAACAGGTGCAAATGGTTTTCAATTCAGTGTGATGAGTCTGTTGACTCCAGTGATACAGTCCAGCTTGCTGTGTTCATTCGTATGGTGTTTGATGACTTTTCCACCAAAGAAGAGATTTTGACCTTACTTCCACTGAAAACTACAACAAATGAAGTTTATATTTATAACGCAGTGAAAGACTACTTTGCAGAAAAAAAAAATCCCTGTTGAAAAGCTGGTGTCTGTGACAATGACGGGTCGTCACTCAGGATTTATTGTGCACAGCAAAGCGGACCCGGACTTTCCCAAGTTTCTGAACATCATTCATCAACAGGCTATATGCGCAAAAGTTATGGGATTTGACCATGTCATGGCACCTGTCGTTAAGATCATCAACTCCATTCGAGCAAAGGCAAAGCAACACCGAAGCTGTTCCTGGAGGAATGCTCTGCAGAGTACGGGGATCTCCTCCTCCACACTGAAGTCAGATGGCTCAGTTGGGGTAAGATACTACAGCGCTTTCTTTCCTTGCTGGGTGAAATCAAGGCTTTTATGGAAACGAGGGAGGAGGATACCATTATCTGATGCAGAGTGGCTACTTGATCTTGCTTTTCTGACAGATGTAACTGAGAAAATTAACCACCTGAACCTACAGTTACAAGGCAAAGATAAAGAAAATATCTGACATGATCAGTGCTGTTAAGGTGTTCAGTGCAAAACTGTCATTGTACATTCAGCAAGAGAAAAACAAAAGGTTTCAGCACTTCCCCTCTGTCTCAAAGATGTTGGAAAGTCATGCAGCCAGCGTTTTAAATGTTTCCAAGTACTGTGACCTCTTGTCAAGGCTTTGACAGGAGGTTGCAGACAGATTCAGTGACTTTGAGAAACTTGAGCCCTGTGTGACATTTATGACCAACCCCTTCATGGATGTGGACATAAGTGAGATTTCAGGACAGATGGCTGAACTTTTCTGTGTTGGTCCTGTAGAAATGGAAATTGAGGTTATAAACCTTCAAAATAATGTGCAACTTAAGTCTCAACAGCATTCTCAGCATTTCTGGAGCTTAGTAGAGCCAGGTAACTATAAGAATCTTCACCAATCAGCTCTGAAAATGTCTGCTTTGTTTGGGTCTACATACCTCTGAGTCAGCCTTTTCTGACATGAATGTCATGAAATCAAAGCTCAGGACAAGACTGACAGATGAACATTTAAATGACTCCATAACAGTGAACCTAAGTGGCTACACTCCACCATACACCTCTCTTGTGGACTCCATGCAGTGCCAGTCATCTCACTAACTGAAAAAGACTAAATACATGTCACACATACAACTGGACATATGAATACTCTCGTGAAGTGATACAGTGACATGTGGACAGATAACAAAATGACAAGTGGATAACTAACAATATCTGTGTATTTGTAATTGCATTGTTTTATTAGCATTCTAGTTTCAGTTAATGTGAGCACTAGAAAGAAATGCATACAGAAATACAAAATGCAGATGCAGGTGAACTAAATATTTTTTGTGTTGTTTTAATACAAAATTTAAGTTAAAATTGAATTAAAATGGAATGACCTAGTGTTAACATTTAGTTAATGTTTAGGCAAATAAGCTTATTTAGTTTGTTTGGGTTGAAATAAGCTATGAGAATAAATGTTACAAAAACTAGTAGCTCTCGGCAATTTTCATTTTGTAAAAGTAGCTCTCAGAGGTAAAAAGGTTGGAGACCCCTGCATTAGAGAGTATACCGGATACATTGTGCGGAGCTTAGTGGGTGATGATGTCATAAGGGGGTGGAGCTTATGTGATGTTCTATCACGATGATTGACAGGTCCCCCATCCCCCACACACATCCTCCACCTCCCAATGCTCCCATAGCCCCCAACCCCCAAACACCCCTCCTCCTTATAGCAAAAACAAGGCGCAAATAGACTTAGCACAAATAGCAGGTGGGAACCAACACACTGCAGGGCGCACGCACTCACAGGGCCAATTTAGACACGCCAATCAGCCTCAAAAACTCAAAAACTGTATATGTTAAATTGGCATGAATGTGCTAATTAGTATAAAAAATAGCCAAAGCATTTTAAAGAAGAATTTAGAGTCAGAGTTAGCACCAAGAACGGCGAATGCTTTGTTAGAAGTGGTCAGTCAGCAGTAGCAGATGGGCAATTCTTAGTTTACAAACCCACACACGAACCAGGGGCGTGTCTTTAGACCGGTGGTTTTCAAACTTTTTCTGTCTTGCCCCCTTTGAAAGCAGTTGACCTATCATCAGCCCACCCATCCTACCTGTACAATGTTTTTTGGGCGCGTGCTGTTTGCTATTGCTCTGGTCATAGCATGTGAACTGAGCAGAGTGGGAGCAAGTGCGGAACGATTTTGGCTGGACCGGCACCTTATCTCTGTGTTTGCTTATCAAAAAGGCAGCAGTGGAGCGAAAGGAGGCAGTTTATTGATGAAAATGTCATAATAATAATAATAATAATAATAATAAAGTCACAAAACTGCAATCCAAATATTTATTTTCATGGTCTCCAGGAAAAAGGAAGAAAAGGACAAAGAAATAAGAAAATGCCTAGCATGTGAAATAGTTTAACCTTAGTTCTCAGCAGCCAAGCTGGACAAGTGGCCGAATGAGTCAAAAACGTGAATTTGAATGCGTGTAGAATACACTTGGTTGTTGTTAATGTGTATTCTACGTGTGAAAAATTAACGCCTAGAATAAATATTGAATACACATTAACAACATGTTAACTTTGTGTTGTTAGCGTGTTGTTAACAGGTATTCTACATGTATTCTATGCACATAACCCCGCAATGCCCTCTTCAAGAGGCCGTCCCAAAATGCAGGTGAATGTGCAGAGACAACATGTGCATGCCTCTGCTATGGTAAGCTGCCGCCCTGGGAATCTTGTTAGGCCTCGACAGCGTGGCGGCCACAGACCTCGCGCTGCTCATCCGGCCGCTCCGCAGCCCTCTTCCTGACATTCAAGGGGCTCATCCTCATGCCTTCTCCCACACTCAGATACTGGTGTGGGAAACGTGTTCTCCCGGTTCTTGGGTACTTTCAACAATAAAGTTTGGTTATCGGCTGCAGTTCAGGCGCCGTCCGCCCATGTTCAAGGGCGTTTGGGTCTCTCAGTAGCCAGACCCAAAGCGGCAGCTGGCCCTCCAAGAGGAGATAAACACTCTGTTAATGAAAGGGGCAATAAGAGAGGTAAATCACAGCGAGCGGCTGAGTGGCTTTTATTCGAGCTATTTTCTGGTTCTGAAACGAGATGGTGGGTTTCGCCCAATACTGGACCTGAGGCCACTGAACCTTTGCCTACGGCCGCTGTGTTTCAAGATGTTGTCACTGACGCAGATCCTTCGGTCAATCCAGGCGGGGGATTGGTTCACGAGCGTAGACCTCAGAGATGCCTACTTTCACATCTCAGTCCACCCCGATCATCGACGATTTCTCCGGTTTGCGCTAAAGGACAGAGCCTTCGAGTTCAATGTTCTTCCCTTT